TGACCATTCCCAGTGCAGAATGACAGTTTAACTTCATCAGGGGAAAGTGCAAAGATGTATAAAGTTGAGTGGGCTGATGGGCATGAGAGACCAGTGATGACACAGTTTAGAATCAATGAAAGCATTGGAAAAGGAGACAACCATGCAAGAAGGTAAACAAAGTACGTGGAATTGGATTTAGCCTGAGAGAGGAAAAGAAACATGATTATTATTCCAAAAGTGCTGGCAAGAATAGCTGAAAAAGAATTCCAAGCAAAGCTGAGGATAGGAGTATATGTTAATAGCAAATGTCTTTCAATGCGTAAACTCACTGAAATGTCAAATGTACATTAATTATCTAGGAACCACTCTGATGATGTCCTATTGTTAATTCATTTGTCAGGCAGCAAGAGTTAGCAGCTCCCAGAAGGAAACCATCAAATGTGTGGCAGACAGGGTGAGTTGGCAGGCAGGCAGACAGACTTCGGCCAAGCCAGAACTAAACCACTTAAGGAAATGTAAAACTTAAAACTGTCCTGAGTAAGTCCCAGAACTTGACACCTGGAAGATTTAGGCCCCAAGGACAAAAGTACATATTCACTTACATATGCATGAATATGACTCTTGGAAACTGACCTAACTTAATATAGGTTTATATGCTTGACAATTTCCTCTTCCTCACATACGAGGTCTGGCAACTAAGTTCGCGAACTTGTTGCAATGACATTGCTAACCTTTTTTGATATCAGAGTGGTTATTCATTCTGAACTTGTACCAACTGGACAAACAGTTAACCAAATTGACTATTTGAGAATGCTGAAAAGGCTGCGTGAAAAAATCAGACAACCTGAACTTTTCGCTAACAATTCATGGCTCTTGTATCACGACAACGCACCAGCTCACACGGCACTGTCTGTGAGGGAGTTTTAGCCAGTGAACAAATAACTGTATTGGAACACCCTCCCTACTCACCTGATCTGATCCCCCATTGACTTTTTTCTTTACCCGAAGATAGGGGAAATATTGAAAGGAAGACATTTTGATGAAATGCAGGACACCAAGAGTAATACAACTACAGCTCTGATGGCCATTCCAGAAAGAGAGTTCCAAAAGTGTTCTGAAGGGCGGACTAGGTGCTGGCATCGCTGCATAGCTTCCGAAGGGGAGCACTTTGAAGGTGACCATAGTGATATTCAGTAATGAGGTATGCAGCACTTTTTCTAGGATGAGTTCTCGAATGTAATTGTCTGACCTCATACAACCTTTCATGTAATAATATGAAATGCTTTCTCTGGTTCTACAATGGTTTGCAATATACGTCACAAAGAATTGTGTGTGTGTGTGTGTGTGTGTGTGTGTTCTTACTCAACACATTATTTTAGCTCTAAAAACCACTACCTAAACAAAATGTCCCTGCAAAAAGATGATGTAATTTCCCTAGTTGCTTAGGAAAGTAGATAGGGACTTGCAAATTTCAGGGGATGAGATTTAGACAGTGAAGGATCAGTCTTAGTTATATGACTCCAGGGGGCTAACTCCCTCTTTGCTTGCTCTTAGAGAAGCCCAGATACATCCAAATTTAGCACTTACATGTGAAATGAAAGTTACACAATTGCCTGTTTCACAGTAGGCAGGGAACGTTGAGTTCAGGAAGGCTCTGATTTGCATATGTTTATTTAAGACGATGCTCCAGAAATGATTCTTAGATAGATGTTCTGAATACCTTGTCCAACAGAGAACAGCTGTTGAGATTGGGGCTTTAGGAGATGTGTATCACTCCTACATTGTTTCTGCAGGTAATAGTACTATGTGACCCGGCAAGTGACATACGCTCTCCAGACAATCCTTGTAGCTCAAAAATGAGCAAAAATGACTGGAGAGTCACCAGCGTTACTTAGGAAACTAATACTCCATAAATTCATACCTCAATGTCCTAAAACAAGGAAGACTTTGGAAAAGGGTCTCCTAATCCCCAAAGGAAAACTTAAGCTATTGAAGGTCTCTTAATTGTCACATGCATTCTTCCTCAAAGCATTGTACCTATCCTTCACATAATTCTTCTCTTTCACTGTTTTATTCTTGAGTAAGACACATTTAATGTCCATTTTTCAAAAGATAATTCTTTTTCTTACAGCACATTTCATTTTATCTTTATTCAGTAACCTTCAACAGGAAGTATCTCAGCTGTTTAATGAGTTTTTTGAACAAGTGTTCAAGAAAGTTCTTAGACGAGTGCTGTCCAATAGAATTTTCTGAGATGATGAAAATGTTCTATCTCTCTGTTGTCCATTACAGTACCCACTAGTACCCTGTAGTATTGAGCTCTTGAAGTATGGCTAGTGTGAATCACAAACTGAATTTTAATTAATTTAAATAGCCACATGTGGCAGACTAGTGGCCACTATATTGGATACTGTAGCCTAGAAGGCCATAAATCCTGCCAGTGGAATTCTATTATACAAAATCTGAAGGACAGCTTATCTCACCTTTAAATTGAAAACCTGTCCAAAGTGTTCAAATAGATATTAAGACTGGTGGTGTGTTCAAATTAGAAGAGACTGTGGGGATTAGAAGTCCAGTTTTTTTACCTAGCCAAGTCAGGGTGTTTGGTAGAAACTGAGTCTGCCTGTATTCATCAAAGAGGGGGAATTTATGTGAAAGCTAGAGATGGAACCTTGCCAAATCAAAGGAAAAAGCTGAGTAACCAGGCCTCAGAAAGCACCTAGTGATGGTTCAGGGAAATGGGCAGGAGGAGGAAATGGAGAACCTCTTCTGGAATGATCCACTGGGAGAAGAGCCTTCCAACTACGTTCCTTCCCGGAGCTTTCTTTCCCTAATCCAAGCTTCAGGTTTGAATAGGTGGTCAGATTGGGCTAGTTTGGAGCACATGGTCAGCGAATGTCAGGACTCGATTAAGAGTTCTACTATTGTATTCGCTTCGACAGCACATATACTAAGATTGGAACGATACAGAGAAGATTAGCATGGCTCCTGTGCAAGGATGACACTCATATTCATGAAGCGTTCCATATTAAAAAAAAAAAAGAGTTCTACCATTAATTTTCCTAAAAGAAAAACCCAGCAGCTGCTAACAGAAGTCAGGACAACCAATGATAGATGTCAGTTTTTACAAACTGGCCATTTTCTAGTTATAAATGCAAATGCCATTTTTTAGTTACAAAAACAAATGCCATTTTCTAGTTACAGATTTGCCCCACTACAAAGACATGTCTGTGTTCTTGGCCTTCATACCTAGTATATTATAATTCTAAATACAAAGATATATACATGTATATCTTAGTGTATGTCAAAGCTCCTAATATGATGAAGGCTCAATACACACACACAACACATACACACAATCTCGTTTAAGTCTTACAGAAAATTTTTGAGGGCGGGATTACAGATTTCCATTTTTTTTTCATGTGAAAACTGCATCTCAACATGTTTATGTTTATGTAACATGTTTGATTTTAGAGGAAAGAAGCACCTGGACCATGCTTAAAGTTATTGCATTTAAGGGTATTTTATGCAAAAAGCAACACCACAGAATTAAATTTTCTTAGACATGGGTGAGATGGCCTATTAAACTCCTTTATTTTACAAACAAAGCCCTGAGAGTCTCAAACTGCATTGTCCAGTGGACACGAGCCACAGGTGGCTACTGAGCCCTTGAAATGTGGCTAGTCTGAATGGAAATATGTTGTAAGTATGAAATACATACTGACTTTTGCAGATCTAATGTGAAAAAAAAAGAATGCAAAATAATAATTTTTAAATTGATTACATGTCAACATAAGTAAAACATACGTCTAAAATTAACCATCTATTTCTTTTCATTTTTTAATGTGCCTATTAGAAAAGAAAATCCAAAAAATATGTATGTGGCTTGCATTTGTTGCTTGAATTTTAGCTGATTGGACAGCACTGAACCAGAAGGTTAAAGGACTTGCTCCAGTGCCCACAGCTAGAGAGTAGCAAGGGAGGAATCAAACCTAGTGTCTTGTGATTTTCCCCCACCAATGTTGCAGCTGTGCCTTTGCTGGCCTGATAACTCCTTATTTATTTATTTTCCTGTTGGTACTCTACATAACATCTTTCTGTCCCTTTAAAAAATATTGTACCTCTCAATTATGTAAACTTGATTAGCTATAATTATTATAATTAAGAAAGCACAGTCCAATAAAACAGCACTAGGCAAGGAGAAATTATGTCAGTCCATTCTTTGTTCAAATACAGATTTGCTAAGCATTAAAGGACCTGTGACCCTGAAATATCTATAGACTGGTTTTAAATATCATCCCCCAGGACATTAGGTGTTGCACCATTTCATTCCTTACCTCGAAGACTGCTCAAGTGTAGCTGGGTCACAGCAGCTGTCCAGGGTTACACGTATTAATGTTAATTTAAAAATAAACCCCCTTCCTTTCCTACTCTATTTCTCTGCGTTAGCATTTGGGAATTTTTAAAGGTAATTCCCTCTCGCCGACCCCCACACCTCCCCTCCATTTTTTTTTGTACATGGCAGCAGCTGGATTCCTACTTCAGCTTATGAAGGCCTTTCAGAAAACCGTCAGCAGGTAGATCCATTTAAGAGCTCTCTGTCCAGCTTCAATGAGAAGAAAGAGACAGCACCAGGGAGGTGGTCAGGGATGATTTCATGACTCCTCCAACCTGGGAACTGAGGAACACTCCATGTGGACTGATAACAAAACAGAGTACTAGAGCTATCCGGTGTTTAAACCCACTAACAAACCTAGGGAGATGGTGAGAAATGTGGGGCCTGTCTTTTCAAACGTTTTCCTTGGCATGCCTCAATCCAGTTCCACTTTTAAAAGTGAGGGAATGAATTTACACATTTTCAGTTATTTAGACAGGTATCTCACAGAGAATAATTTTTAAAATGTGACAAACATCTTTTGGTATTTAACTTCATATGCTTAATTTGTGAAAAAGATATGAAAACCTTCTGAAACATATTGCTGCAAAAACAAAATCTCAGACATGAATGTCTTACTTACCTTCCTGTATGAGTACTTGCCCAAAATCATCACAATGAGTCAATTAGATCCTCAGGCTACAGCAAAAATTGGTTCAGTTTTGGAGGGCAGTTATCAACAGTGTCAGTTTCAACCTGAATCCAGTCATCCAGGTTTTGCTGATCTTTAGGTGATCGCTCTCTATATTTTTAAAATGAACCCTACGAGGAAAAAAAAAATCCCATTCAGTTCTATTATTCTCATTATAATAAATATTTAAATAAATAAGAAAGGAGAGAGAGGAGAGAGGGAGGGAGGCAGGGAAGAAAGAAAAAGAGAAAGAAAGAAAGGGAGGGAGAGGAGAGAGAAAGAAAAGAGGACAGAAGGAAGGGAGGGAGGGAGAAAAGGAGGGTGGTAGGAAGCGGGGGAAGGAAGGGAAGAAACCAGATATTGAAGGGAAACAAAGCATTTCTTAAAATTGAGTTGTCTTAAATCTTCTGTTTTTTCATTTATAAAGGAATAATCACACACTCTTAGAATTGGTATAAGAAGTAAAATAATACATGGTTTTTTTTAACCTATTACTTGAAATAATGACACAGTAGCACTAGATAAATGTGTTTTTTTTTAAGTGTATCTATCACCTCATCCAAACTATCTCTTTTTAAATTCCTCTCACCTGTCCATTATTGGTGCCAAGAACTGGAGGTCCCAGGAAAAGCAGACTAGTTAATAAAAATGTATCATAGAAAATGTATCATAGAAATTAGAAGTTTACTATACATTTCATCATTTGAAGGCGTTTTTCAGAATATCTTTTGGCAATATATTCCTGAACTTTTAATTGAGTAACTTCACTGAGAATTTATTACATGCCAGACACTCTTCACATTACTCTCACATAATGTTTCCAGTAACTCTTGGAACAGGTAATTTGTATCTCTTTTTTGGATAGGAAGACCCATAAGCTCAGAGGAACAAAGTGTCTTCCAAGGATGTGAAGCTCCTTTCTTTACACTAGAAATGAGATTTTAACATTTGTTTTCTGACTCAAAGGTCTATCCAATTTCTTTCTACTTATCCTAAAAAATGTTTCTCAAACTCCTTGTACACATAGTTGTATATTATATATACAATATAGCAATGCATTTAACACCTCAAGCATGAGTCATTTGTTATCCTCACTTTTTAATCTCTAGTAAACATGAAGTAAATAATGTTATTCATGCTGCCTGCTTGCTTCCAATGTCTTTCTTGTTTTGAATTCATTATTTCTAACGTCAATAGAAGTTGAAAGGGGAAAAAGAGAGAATGAATATTTCTCAGCATGTTTATTCCATTTGGCTCTCACTTCCTCAAACCTCTGCTCATAGTGTGCAATACTGTGAATACAAAGGAATGTGTCTTATAGTTAACTTGACTCTTGGACTCAGAGAAAGTCACCAGGAAGCACTGAGACACATCTGGAACAGATAATGCAATCATCGACTTCGACTTTAAAAGGTAGAATAACCTCAAAGGTAAGGTTGTCTCAGGATGTATTTAAACAGGGGACATACAAGCTAAGTGACCTGGCCTAAGACAATACTCTGATCAAGAAAATGTGCAAGAGTCAGTTATGTTTCTTTGAGCAATTCACCAGCAAAAACATGTATTAATATGGCCATTAAAGCTGAGATTGACAATTTAAAACCTGAGAATAAACTGAGAAATGGGACCAGAGCTTTGAAAAAGGAAGAACTTACTTGTCACCAGAATAGGATTTACTGAAATAATGGATCGAAATTTCACTTTATTATTAGTTATATTTGGAATTTTAAAAACTTTTGTTGCTCTTTTTGTACAAGTTTGGATTTTGCAAAACGGATCTTTGTAAGTTAAATTTTGCAAATTCTTTTCATCATTTGAAATATGAATATTTATGTTTAAAAGACTGATGAGTAATTTCAAAATGTATGTATTTGTTTTCCTTAATTTGCTTTCTTTAAAGTGTCAATGCATAAACTCCTCCATGTCATATCAAATAGTGGTATCATCTAGTTAATGCCGATAATAAATAATAAAAAGATTAAAAAGAGCTTCATGGTTTGCTTAAAACATCAATGATAGAACTATATAAAAACTCTTACAGTTGAGGAAGAGGAAGAGAGAGAGAGTGAAAAAGAAATTAAGCCCAATTATAACCAGTCAAAAACATACACCTCCCACCCCAAATGCTGTACTCCCTTCCTTCCAGGGTACATGCCAATCAAGGCATGAGTAAGTCAGAAGGAGAGATGCATGCATGTCATTTTATCACTACAGGACATTTTGAGGCTCCAATTGCTGTATTAGGAGATGCACAAGCATTATTATATGAGTAATTTAAAAGGTTCCTGACAGGAAAGCTCAGGGTAGAGTTCTATGGGGATCCATTCTTCTCTGACAAAGGGCAGCTGAAGGGGAGGCATGATAATTTCTATAAATAATTTACATTAACTCATGAGCATTACTCATTCGGCACAATCAAATTTAAGTCAGTTGGGGGATATCAACGTTCACTGCCACAATTGCATCTTCGCTGCAGTTCCGTTATTTAAAGCCTTTCTCTTACTCTGATTCTAAATAATATTTTGAAAGTTCTTTTCAGAGAACAGGCACTTCAATCATCTAAGCCACTTTCAACAGTAAAGTTTTGCCTTCCTATGCATTGCTCTTCCTCAAAACCCATTAGTAAAATCCAGCCGGTCAAAACTCACAATTCTTGATACATTATTGCTTTGCTTCCTTGTTTCGCTGCCATTTTAGTAGCAATTGAATCACACAGGTTTTAAGTTGGGGTTTTAACTGAATCATCTCCATCCGCAAAGCAAGGCCACTTACCTGTTCATTGATGTGCGTAAAAGGCCTTGCTCAGCTCTGTCCCTTTTATCTCAATAACATAGCCAATTCTAATCAATTAACACGATAAGAAATGAAATCCAAACATCAGCTTGGCACTCAGCATAATGGACCATTTTCAATTCTACCTTTGCCAGACTTTGTTCTAGGTCTGATGCCATGCAACCCAAAGAGAGTTCCTTTCACCTTCCTTTGCATTTCTTACAACTGAGCAAACAGTTTGAGATCAAGGCAGAAAGGAGGAAGGGCTTGAGTAAACCTAGGGAAGCCCAAAACAAGAGTTGCTTTTAAAAATCTGAAATTGCCAAAGAGAGAAAACCATTAGCCTTGGCACACATCCACAGACCCCCTCAGGGTTTGAAGCATCATAGGTAAAGTAGGAATTGAATGTAGTAGGAAGGCGTAGTTTGGGGACCATCTGAGCCTACTGCAAGCTTTAAAATATGCTGTTTCTAAAAGATAGAAATAATTGCAATAGGTTTGATTAATTAATCAATTAACTGATTGATTCATTAGTCTAAAAGAGCAGGAATGTTATCCCATACCGATTTCACAAATCTTCGCTCAGCAGCCTCAACAACTCTTCCAAACCATCAAATTCGTTCTAAGCAGACACAACAGCAGATACATCTGACTTGCTGGATTAAGAAATTTGCAGAATGTTTACCTTTGTGTGAAATTTCCAGTTTTAAGAAAGTTTTAAGAATTTCTAAGACAAAAGCTCTGTATTGGCTGAAAACTACAAGTCCATCATTTTTGCTCCATCAAACACCTTGAGCAGGTTGCAGTTTAATTCTTAACACTGCTTGCCTGTTATGTTTTTGAGGTCATGTCATAATTATGAAATAATGAATTTCCTAGTTCCCTGGTCGATGACCTTACGATCAGACAATTCAAACCCTAGTGAATCTCGGCTCCAAGCTTCAGTCAGGTAGAGAGATTTGGGAAATTCCAAGCTGCAGTTTCAATCCTTCATATCGCTTCACCAAAAGAAAACATTTGCACTTCTCCCAGGCCACCTATCTGATTAAATCGTAGGAATTTCCACCCTGGATACCTTGACTTTTCTATATTCCCCGCTAGGCTCCTTTCCAACAGGGAGGGGAAAGACATTTCAGTGGTCTAGTAAGATTCAGAGACTACATTGTTTAGTTCTGAGGTTATACTTGACTGGCCTGTGATGATATATGCTATCTGGTCTCTATTGTATTCATTCTGAATATATCATTGTGTCTAATCAGAGCCCAGGTGAATGCTGAACAATTCGGCTCTCTCTGTTTGCTGGGCACAATGTATAGAGTGGTCCACTTTGAGATTCAGAGGGAGACTGTTGTCTGTGCACGAATGAGGAGTAGCCAGGGCTGACACTCCACGCACAAGGCATTCTTATCGATCTATCTCAGAAAAACAAAGCTTGTATTCTTGGATGTCAGGAGGAAGGCTCGTTCCATTTAATTATGGAGAGAAATGTGCTTATACACCTGCCCTAAAAACAAATCCACTGCCTTGGAAAAATCTAAACATACCAAACTGATCCCGATGACTGCAAAGTTAATGGCGGGATTAGGGGAAGGGAGGGAGGGAGGGAGGGAGGGAAGAAGAGAAGAACCAACAACAACTTTTTAAAAGACATTTAACTTTAATACACTGAGTTCCAGAATTCATGTGTGGAGACAGAGCTTTTTACATTTAGGATAAATGATTTTTTTTTTCTTCCCCAGCTTTGTCACTGATCCTCAGACCCAAGGTAAGCTAGTTGAAAAGAAGCAGAGGTATTTTTTTTTTTTCCCTCTCTCATGGAGGTAGCTTAGAAAGGTCAAATTGCATCAGGGCCTCAATTCAACCACACCCCATGGAAAATGTGATCTCTTCCTCCTTTTCTCTAACTTTCCAAATCCCTGCAGCCTGGTAACATAGCAAGAGATGCTCAGATACAGAAACTGAGGCAAGTTCTGATAATACTGAAATCCGTAACAGTTCTTGTCCAGGTTGCTCATCTGGCAATTGGCTATGTACCGTCACACATTCTTATGGTGATTTCTAAACTTTTAAAGTTAGTTCAGTATTTATTGCTTTTAACATGTCTTTCTGCATTATGCATACATGTAATTATGTATTGCATATTCAGTGTTCTTTTATTGTGTTTTCCCTCTGATCCTACCAAAAACAAACAAAAAAATACACATTTTCTTTCCACATTGACTCTTATTTATCTCCCTTTACTCTGCAGACTTTTCAAAATAATGACAAGAAGTATTTGATGCAGCTTTCTAATCTTCAATTTTCATCTCTCCTCAGCATTCATCTGAAATTCTATCTTCGCCACACTGTTCAAACTGCT